GGGACCCATCACAAAGGTCTGAATAAAGATATTACCTGGCGAGCACACGACCTTCCACATGCGAATGACTTAACACAAACAAACAAACAAACAAACAAACAAACAATGGGTGCTTAAGAACAATTTGCACCTCCTCTCTCAGCTTCATGTAATATGAACACTCTAATACACTATACACACTTCCCCCCCACCACCCCCCCCCCCCCCCCCCCCCCCCCGCTTCCCCTATTTATTCTTGGATCTGGGCTTTTAATACTCCAGTCATCTGAAGAAGTGGGCTGTGCCCACAAAAGCTCATATCACCATCAACATGTTTTGTTAGTCTCTAAGGTGCTGCTAGACTATTTGTTGTTCTCTAGATCATTTCTAAATAAGTTGAATAGAATTGGTTCCAGGACAGCCCCTGCAGGGACCCCACTACTTACCTCTCTCCACTGTGAAAACTTATAATTTATTCTTACCCTTTGTTTCCTGTCTTTTAACCAGCTACCAATCCATGGGAGGACCTTCCCTCTTATCCCATGACAACTAACTTTACTTAAGAGTCTTTGGTGAGGGACCTTGTCAAACGCTTTCTGGAAATCTCTAGAGTTCCAGTTCTGAAGATAATTAAGAGCAGGTTAGATAGACATCTATCAGGGATGGTGTAGATGGTGCTTGGTCCTGCTGTGAGGGCAGGGGACTGGACTCAATGACCTCTCGAGGTCCCTTCCAGTTCTAGTGTTCTCTGATTCTATAGTCTCTATTGCTGTCCTGGTCAGGTGGTTGATAATATATTCCTACTGCTATAGTCTTGTTATTGGAGCATGGAATTACTATCCATGGAGATTCTATGGAACATTTTGGCTCACTTAAGATTTTTACTTCATTTGATTCTACATTTTCTTTCAAGTATAGTGCCACTTCCCCACCAGTATGACCTGTTCTGTCCTTCCTATATATTTTGTACCCTGGTATGACTGCGTCCCATTCATTGGCCTCATTTTACCAAGTTTCTGTGATGCCTATTGTATCAATACCCTCCTTTAAAACTAGGCACTCTAGTTCACCCATTTTACTATTTAGATTTTTAGCATTTATGTATAAGCACTTTAAAAATGTGTCACTATTTAGGTCTGCCATTTCCTGATGTGTTAGACTCTTTTTCATTTGATTGTGTCATCTGATATGACCCATTCTTCCATTCTCTCTTCCTGACTAGAACACAGAGCATCTCTATTAATAGAACCTCCCCTAATAGATGTCTCTGTCCGATCCACATGCTCCTCTGCACCTGTTGGCTTTCCTCCATCTCTTAGTTTAAAAACTGCTCCACAACCTTTTTAATGTTAAGTGCCAGCAGTCTGGTTCCATTTTGGCTTAGGTAGAGCCCATCCTTCCTGTATAGGCTTCCCCATTCCCAAAAGTTTCCCCAGTTCCTAATAAATCAAATCCCCTCCTCTCTACACCATCGTCTCATCCACGCATTGAGACTCTGAAGCTCTGCCTGCCTACCTGGCCCTGCGGTGGAACTGGAAGCATTTTGGAGAATGCCACCACAGAGGTCCTGGATTTCAGTCTCTTTCCTAGCAGTCTAAATTTGGTCTCCAGAACCATTCTCCTGCCCTTCGCTATGTCAGTGGTACCTACATGTTCCACGACCACCAACTCCTCCCCAGCACTACACAGGTCTATCCAGAGGTCTCGAGAGATCCACAACCTTTGCACCAGGCAGGCAAGTCACTGTACAGTTCTCCCGGTCATTGCAAACCCAGCTATCTATGTTTCTAACGATCGAATCCCCCATTACTAACACCTGCCTCTTCCTAATTACTGGATTTCCCTACTCCGGAGAGGTATCGTCAGTGCAAGAGAATACCCCAACATCATCTGGAAGAAGGGTCCCAACTATGGGATGGTTTCCCTCTGCTCCAATTGAATGTTCTCCTTCCCTGAGCTTTTCATCCTCCTTAGCACAGGGGCTGTGTGACTGGAGGTGGGACAGTTTTATAGTGCCCTGGAAAGCCTCATCTACGTACCTCTGTGCTTTCCTTAGCTCCTCCAGTTCAGCCACCCTGGCCTCTAAATCCTGTACGTGTCTCTGAGGGACAGGAGCTCCTTGAACCGAATGCACACATACGCCACCCACCCACAGAGCAGGTAATTGTACATGCTACATTGGGTGCAATAAACAGGATAGCCCTCTGCAGATAGCTTCTGCCTGCATTCTCTCTCTCTCTCCTACAGATAATTAGATTATTGATAGGGTTTTTATTTAAATCAGGTAGTTTTGGTTTTAGTTTAGTTTAAAAGTTTTAAAGAATGTCAAGTGTACCTAGCCCCCTTTGAACTCGCCATCTAAACTCTCTCATGAAACTCCCTGTTAGCTGCCCCTGTTCGCAAAGCTCCCTGGTCGCTTACTAACGGGCTTTATAAAGCCCTGGCCTTTCTGATAAGAGACAAGGTCAACAGCTAACTCCCATGAAACAGAACTGGCAAAGAATAAATAATCTCAGCATAGCAAAGGGCAGCCGTGCAGTTTGTTTGGAGAGCTCATCATGACAAAAAGCTAAGTCTGTCTAGTATTGCTTTGTCTTCCCAGTTTAGTCCAATGCCCCAATAAATGTCCTGCCCTGGCTGCTGAGGGGAGAAGGCACTGTTAGAGGACAGATATGTTTGAACACCTTTTGTAACTGACAAGAACCGTTAGAGGTGAAACTTGCATTTATTTAGAGAGGGTGAGCACTTTTCTATCTCAACCTTATATTCTCAGTGTAAGTTTACTTGCTGCTGGTATCTCAGTTTTAAAAACACAATGTGACAGATGAAAGTGTTTATAGACATAGGTGCCTTATGGAACGTTTTCCCCTCGTTTTACATAGAAATGTGCTATAAAGAGTACACTGGTTCATTTTTTCTTATAAACAATTATTTTGCTGGGGCTAAGCAAACTGCCTAGGAAGGCTTGTCTATGCAAAAAGTTGAATAGTGGTATCGTTCAAGTAGTACAGCACTCTACTGTGCATATGAAAGGCGCACAAAGGTGCTTTATATCCCTAGAGCGATTCCCATATGGGGAAGGGAAATAAGTATAAACCCACTTCAGGTGCTTCAATATCTGTGTAATGGAATCCACACTTCAGGCTGGACTGGTTTAACCAGATCAGGAGAAATCATCCTCGTACATGGCAATTAGAGCAGTACAAAAAGTGTGTGCTCACCAGGCGTCAGAGTCAATTCTATTCACGAGGCAGTGATACCAGCACTGGGGCTAAAAGGGGAATATTTCTTTGGCCCTGTTTCAGGAGAGGATTTTTGAGGACACATGGCACCCAGTTCCCCAGACGCCCATTCACACTACACAAAGTGCTGGACAAACTGCCTTTGCCCACCCTAGATAGCTAGAAAAAGGCTTATTTCTCCAGTCCCGCTGAGGTAGCAGGCACTCAAGTGCAGACATGTCTCAGGTGGATTTCAGCATTTATTAATTAGCCCTTCTCCACAGTAAGCTCAAGGCAGTGATGAAAACATCAGAAACTATCAGGGCTGCATTAGGGCCCCCATCAGTGCTAACACTGGTTCAGCTTCACTGGTGGCTTATTTTCCCTAAGATGCTCTCATTTGCATATGGCCAGAAAGGGAGATTTAATACACTAGATCTCTTCCCTTTTGCTTTGCAAAGACGATGTCTGTGCAACTGGGGCCATGTCTATCTTAAAACTGCTAATGCCTCCTTCGAAGGCACCATCATGACATTAATGCTGCACTTCCAAAACGTTTGGAAGCTAAGTCCCACTCTGAAAAAAATTAAGCCCACCACATCCCTCTAGCCAGCCTCTTGTCTTCCACTCTTCTTGCATTGAGAAGCTTGTAAAAACTTGTCTGCAAATGCACCTGTCCACAGCCAATAATTATTAGACTTCACAATCTGATGTTTCTATTTTTTTCAGTTTTCTTTGTACAACTGACAGCACTTTATCTACAGTTAGTTTCCGCTGATGCCCTAATACATAGTAATTTTCTTCCATGTTGAAGAAACCGATATAAACATCTGCAGAGGAGAAGAAAAACACAAATGGTAAAATCTCGAGCTGCTGACGTCAATGGAAGTTTTGCCATTGACTACAATAGACCCAGGGTTTCATCAAGATATTTTATTTTTCAATAAAATTCCTGGATGTACTATTTAAAAGGAACTCCATCAGAAACTGGATTTTTTTAAAAAAAAGTAAATTTCTACAAAGGAACAAAGCTTATTGTGAGCAAGAAGGTAGCTTAGGACATGTTGTAGACTTATCCTAATCAAGGTAGCTGAGAAGATCATTAGTAAATCAGGCATTAAACTTCAGCCAGAAGAAATATACTTGGGTCAGGTTATTCTGAGGTACAGGGTGAGAAAAATAAGAAGGCAACTGGATAAAAGTTTGTTTCTAACTAGGAAAAAATTCATAGGAGTACAGAAATCAGTGCTACCAGCCTGCCAGACACTGGTTACAGCAAGTGCGGCATATACTAGAGAAGGTAAAATCTATTTTAAAAACATGGGCATTCATCTCAGTTTGGTCTCCCCATCTTAATGGCTTTAATCATTGTAATGACCACTCCCAGCTCTGGAGGTCCTTTTTAATAATAAATACTATGATGTCCCAAAGCAAAAAGGAACAGCATGAAAAGGAAATCAAACATAATCCATTTTGATCTGCCAAGGAGATAGGCGGTGTCATTCAGGAATTAAGAGCGGCTGTTGTAACTTACTATTGTACTCTAATCTTGTTAGTATATTACTTTGTATTGTGTAAAAGAAAACAGAAGAGACGTGTCCCTGATTGACTTTTTTGTAATCATCAATGATTGTATATTCCCACTGCAAACCTTGATTCTATTGTTCTTTCTTGTGGTATATTTGTATGTATGTTAATATTCCCCCACCCTGAAATGAATGTGATTTAAAAACATTCTTCCCACAGCCCTACCCTGAGCATCATTCACTTGGCATCTTTCAAATACATTATTACACTTACCTGCTGCTCCATTTCCATTTCCAACAGCCACTAGAGCACTAACAGATTTTTTTCTCCCTTCCTTTGCTGTCATATTAAATACATTTTTCACCTAAAGGAAAAAACCAAAGCAGTTTTCTATGAGGCTCTTAGTCACTTTACTTGAGAGAGATTTGTAAAATATATACCTCAGACATACTACATTTTGGGAATGAATATTATTTGGAATGGGAACTGATTTTAAGGCATAAAGATTTAAAGTCTGCTAAAAATCCTGTTACCTAGTGCACAACATAAAACAAGCAATACAGTGAGGCATAACTAAAACAAAATGAACATTATCTATGATTTCCTCTGTACTGTTTAGTTACATAATAAATGAACACCCTGTATTATGATCAGCTTTGCACTTAATTTCAAGTACCCTGCTTACGAAATATCACAGCAAAGAATAAAAGAATGAAAATGTGAAGAGACATTAACATCTTGCTTCACACAAGTTTAGAAGCTCAAACTCACACAGTTTAGAAACTCTCTAATATACAGTGCTCAAATCAAGTTATTGATTCATACCATTTGAAGACTGGGATCCCAAACTACTTACTGAAGCAGTGGCAGCTAAATTGATTTCCAGGGGCAAAGATATGAATACAAACTCTGCAAATACTTCTGAGTACAGTGAAAATGCCACTTATTCTGGAATAGCTGGATATAAAATTCCTCAGGAAGAAGGCAGCCTTGTGGCCAAGTACTGCAATGGAATCCAGGAGAGCTGGGCTCACTTCCTGGCTCTGCCACCGACTCCCTCACAGAAGTACTTGAAGTCTGTGCCCAAGGTTCCGTCTGTAAAATGGGGCTATAAGTCCTTTCTCCCACCCTTTGCTACTTGAGGTTTTTTTTTTTTTTTTTTTTTAATTTACTTACTGGTATTTCCTGATTAAGTATCTCAATAGTACCATGATGCATAAACAAGAGGGCTTTTTTGGCAGTTCATTTACCATGCAAGGCTTTTCCTTATCCTTTTGGAAAAAGAGGAGCAAGACGACGACACCTGTACAAGGGTATGCTTTCTGGAAACACCCATAGGATTCCTTTACAGTATGTCGGTAACAGCTGGATTACAGTTAATAAAGCATATTTCAAGAAGTGCAGCCCTTTTAATTCTAGCATTGGTGCCTCAGGAAATCAGTCTTATAGCACAACATTTGGGCGAGGACTGTAAAAAACATGTGGCACTGGCATCATTCTGTTCCCACTGACAAACAAAAGAAGACTCCCATCGGTTTCACTGGGAACAGACTGAAAGTGACAGTGAGAACTTCTGAAAACCTCACGTCTGGTTTTCATTGCAGTAATTATGTTAAATTCAACACACATTCTAGAGATGCATCATCTTTATCTTCTCTAAGCTTTACGAATAGCTCATCCCAAAATCAACAAGGAGTCCGGTGGCACCTTTAAAGACTAAAATTTATTACGACATAAGATTTCATGAGTTGCACGAAGGGAAAGAAAAAGAAACAGAAAAGCGTGGCACAGAGATAGGAGAGTTACACCCGAGCTAATTCAATCAGGATGGATGTCGAAAATACCTCAAGCAGAAAATCACCTATTGCAATGGGACAGCCATTCCCAGTCCCTGTTCAGACCCATTCTGATAGTGTCAAATTTGCACATGAATTCCAGCTCATCAGTTTCAAATTGCAGTCTATTTTTGAAGTTTTTTTGCTTGAGAATGGCAACTTTCAAATCTGTAACCCTGTGTCCAGGGAGGATACAATGTTCCCATTACCATTCTTGATATCTGATTTCTGTCCATTTATGCTGTTGTTTAGAGACAGTCCAGTTTGTCCAATGTACGTGGCAAAGGAGCATTGCAGGCACAAGGCACTTGTGACGAAGTCTGAAGTGGATCACAAAGATTTCATTTATTATGTAACTAATTGCTGGAGGCTATACACAGTCTCAAAAAGATGGCATTTTGGAATTACAGAATCCATGAAGACCTTGTTCCTCCCTTATCCAGGAGGTGGCAATCATGACACATGGAATGGGCTCTTTAAGAAAAGCAATTTCAAAAACCACTTGTCAGCTGTTTCTGAGCAGCTCTGAAGGAAAATGTGTTCAGTCACCCATCAGAATCAGAGCTAGCACATCTCCCTTCCAACTCTGTAAATGCCTTTCAAGCTCAATAATGTGCACAGACAGCCAGGGCTGTTAGAATCTGAGGACAGGGATGTTCTATCTTCTTCCTTGGACTTACTAAATCAAAGAACACAGCCCTTTTTTGGAACACAGTCCACAGTAGATTTCCCTTTCTGCTCAGGCATTAGACTATGCAGCTGAAAGCACATAATTAAAATACAACAGAATTAATTAATACAGAATTAACAGTTTGCTACTTTAATCAAGAGCACAGCTCAAAAAAAGACTGAAATCAAGTCACAATTACCCTTATTTACCAGGCTCTGATTCAACTGAGTTTTAATGCTAACCCTTAAGCTGACGTATGTTCACCCTTACTTACAGTGAGTGTACCCTGAACTAACTTGCCTCAGTTTATTCATTATTCAGTGCTAACAAATTTAAATTCAGCTTTCACTGGAAAAATGAAAAAAACTAAGAGCGCTTCTTTGAAACCAAACCAAATCCCATAAAATATTTATAAAAAAGGAAGGAAAAGCAACAGTTTCAAAGCAGGAATTATGGCAGTACAAATCGGGATGCTGTAGCCTAAGGCCACATGTTCACTAGCTGCGTCAGAGATCGATCTTCTGGTGTTTGATTTAGCGGGTCTAGTTAAGATCCGCTAAATTGAATACTTAGGGTGGCTCCAGTTGGTGCCAGTACTCCTCACAGCCATGAGGAATACGGATAGAAATGTAGCCGTGTTAGTCTGGTCTAGCTGAAACAAAAAACAGGACTATGTAGCGCTTTAAAGACTAACAAGATGGTTTATTAGGTGATGAGCTTTTGTGGGCCAGACCCACTTCCTCAGATCGAATAGTGGAAGAAAATTGGCATGATCATATATACCAAAGGATACAATCAAAAAAATGAACACATATGAAAAGGACAAATCAAATTTCAAAACAGAAGGGGGATGGGGGGGGGGGAGGTAAATGTCTGTGAGCTAATGATATTGAGGTGATAATTGGGGAGGCTATCTTTGTAATGGGTAAGATAATTAATGTCTTTGTTCAGACCTAAGCGTAAAGTGTCAAATTTAAGCATGAATGACAGTTCAGAAGCTGATGGGAGCATTTGCTCCCATTGGCTTCCCTCTGTGAAGACAGCACCAAGCTTGGCTTGAGGAAAGCCAACTCCAGCAACGTATTTTACGTAGCTCCATCCACAGAACAAACTTCTGTCCCCCGTGTGGAGAAGTTCTCAACTCAGGCTAGCTGGCCTGAGTGGGATAAAGCCCAAGGCTGGTAATTCCTACACTCTGCAGTGAGGGTTCAGGCCAAGCTAGCTGAATGCTGACAGTCTTCCAATGCCTTCCTAGGATTCCCCAGTGTGCCCAAGACAGAGTGAGAGCGTCTAAGCTCACTGTAGCACTAAAAACTGCTTAATGTGCCCACTAAAGCCCAGGAGACAGGAGCATGGGGCCAGTAACTCGAGCATAGCTGGATCATGCCAGAGCTGGGGTGACCACCTGGTGACCGTGCAATGAAGCCATACCCAGAGAAGGAATATCAGAAATTGGTTTGGTTTATTTTTGTAGGAGGATCTGGGAGTCAGATCTAGGGATGCCTCCATGGTGCCGCCTGCCCCCTCCATTCCCTGCACTGCTGCTTCTATTAGTGCAGCTCCATGGAGTTCACATGCTGCTAGTGGCGGTTGGCTTTTTAGCCATAGAGTAGTCTTGAACCTGCTTAGCTGCTGATAGTTGAAGTGTGGGAAATTGGGAACTTTTAGTGTGTGCCACCAGGGGCTACACTGGACAGTTTCTGCACAACACACTAGCATGCACTAGAATTTACACACTTTCCAGTGCAAGCTAATACAGACAAGGCCTAACTTATGTCATAGCAAACTTCCATAACAGAGTACAACATTTGCAGGTTTGCTTTCTATTATATACAGGATTGGCTTCTTGTGGTGTTAATAGCCTTGTGTTACTACTCGTGCACTTTATTTTTTTTGTATAATATTAGGTAGATTCTGAGTACCAAACTGCTTGGAAAAGAAACATCACTGCACTTTGTATAATCTTCAAATCTGTATTGCACTGAAAAGGAGAAAGATTTCTATTGTCTGAAGAGAATGAAAAGAAAGAATCTAAAATTTTGGAGGGGCTGCATGATTGATCTAGGACACCTTAAAAGGTGCCAATACTTATATAAAATTCCTCAAGTGAACTAACAATGATCGAAGAGAAGCAACGGAAACTCAAACATTTGAAAACGAGAGTAAATGACCAAAAGGGGCACAGGGTTTCTAGCAGGGATGTTAACGAGAGTGTATTTGTGTAAACGCGTAGAGGGCTGATTTTTTTTAGTGGTCACACGTTGACATGCAGGGGAGCAGGTGATCACTGGCTCCCGTCTCCCCCTTCCCACTGCCTCTGATAAAGCAGCAGCAGCACAGGGCGCCGGCGGCTCTGTGAGAGCTGATACACATGGGGAGCTGGCTTCAAAGCTGCTTCCTGCATGTACAGGGTCCTGCCTGCCACCTCCTCCCTGTGCACTGATGCCTCTCTACCAGAGGCAAAAGTACAAGGCAGGGGAGCTGGCTTATAAGCCCGGTCCTCACAGGAACCAGATCCCACTCCCCACCACCACTGATACAGAGCCAGCAAGCGGGTGCGTAGTCGTTAAACATGGGCTTATCAGTTAATCTTACTGGTTAATCATGTAAGTGACTACACACTAACATCCCTAGTTTCTACAAATAGAGGCAGCTTCAGTGTCACGCACAATACTCAGTCTGTCTTTGATCAAGGGCATTTGTTTATTACTGCACACGGGTTCCTTCTAGAGCTTTCTTTCTCCTGTGTGCAAGAGTCAAAAGAACTCCAACCTCCCCTTACATCAGCCTGGCATGAAAGCTTGTATTAATGGTCTAGGTCTCGTTTCCCAAATCTCACCCTGCTGAGCGGCAAGGTGC